GCGATCTGGTCGTTGGAAACCGACTCCTCGTGCTGCGTCGAGATCAGAATGGTGTGAACGCGAACGGGCTCAAGGGCGCCGCTCTCGTCCTTCTTGTACTCGACGGTCACCTGCGTCTTGCCGTCGGGTCGCAGCCACTTGACGGCCCCGTTCTTTCGGACCTCCGTCAGCCTGGCGCCGATCTTGGTGGCCAGCACGTGAGTCAGGGGCATCAACTCCGGAGTCTCGTCGGTTGCATAACCGAACATGATTCCCTGGTCGCCTGCGCCGATCTCCTCGGGCCTCTTCGTGCCCATACCGTGCACTCCCTGGCCGATATCAGGACTCTGCTCCTCGATGTGCACCAGAACCTTACACGTGTCGCAGTTCAACCCCACCTCCTCAGAGACGAAGCCAATGCCGCGGCATGTCTCCCTCACGATCTTCTCATAATCTACGCTCGCCCTCGTGGTAATCTCGCCGAACACCATCACCATTCCCGTCTTCGTGCACGTCTCACATGCCACCTTGCTGTCGGGATCTTCCGCAAGGCAGGCGTCCAAGATCGCGTCGGACACCTGGTCGCACAGCTTGTCCGGGTGCCCCTCATTCACGGACTCCGAGGTGAAAAGGAAACTCGCCATTTTGGCGGGCTTACACGCGAAGTATCTCGTTCCGCGTGCAGAAATTGAGCGTGCGAGAAGAGATGGAGAAGAGAGAACAGCGAGAGAGAAAATCTCCGGACAACCCACTCCCGATCGTTCTAGCGGCTGCGGGTGGGAGCACCTCCGGTCGCTGTCGAACAACTACGCACGGAGGCCTTCCGCCCCGAGCGACCGACAGTGAAAAGTATGAGGTTGATCCGTCCAGGCAACGACGTCATGATGAATTAGAACGGGCGTGGGGTTTTTAAAACAACTGTTCGGCCACTAGCTGTGGCAGTCCCCTCCTACCAGTTGCCCAGCAGCCTTGAGATGACCGGCCCATCCAGCGGCCTAGGGCAGTCGGTTAGGCACGCAAGTGGCATTCAGGAGGCCGTGGGTTCGAGGCCAATGACCGCCTGTGCCCTTAGTGCCAAGTTGCCAACAGGCAGTTATAATCCTCTTGATACCCCTTGTCGGTATTACGGGTAGTAGTGTCTATTGACCAACACGGGTTAAAAATGAGTGCAGGGCCTAGCTCAGTTGGTAAGGCACAGAAGTTGCATTCAGGAGGTCGTGGGTTCAATCCCCATTGGCCTCACGCACGTGCCTGGGCAAGCTTGGTGTTCTACCAGCTAGAGATAACCCGTTGGCCCCCCAAGCCAGCATTAACAGGACCTTGGTTGATGTTGTTGGTTGCTATGCAGTGACAATATTGGCCATTAGACACCGCCATGTTAGGGGGAGGTGCAGTGACTGGCCATTGCTCGGCGCTAGCACCGCCGATTTCCCCCATCGGCAATGCGTGCCCACCCGTCGTCACCGTGATGAGGGACTGGTACAGCCTTGCTCTCGCACCACTGCTGTGGTGCCAACCTACCCCGTGGGCTGGGAAGAGATCCCAGTTGGTTGGTGTTCCCCCGTACTATACATCGACTAGTGAGAGGATGAGATAGATGAGTACTAGCAAGAAAAATGAGATAGATGAGAGAAGAATATAGCTTTTGGTGAAAAGAAAAAAAACACTGAGGGCAGGCCAGGTTGTTGCCCTTAGGCCTGGACCCCACTGCCCGGCGGCTGGAAACTGATGTTGGCCACAAAAAGCGGCCCAGCATGGTTGGAAAGAACTTGCCGCGTTTCGTTGGGACCCCACCGCCACCCTTGACTCTTGGCACTGGAAACGGATGGGCATGCCCGAATAGGAAATCCCCCCGGGGTGTTTCCTGAAAAGGCAAGTCTGGCCGCGGCTGTGTTCCATGGCCTTCTATCGGCCTGCACCAGGACATGTCCGTGTGTGGCCGTGCGCGACCCGGTGTGGTGGGTGCCGCACAAGTACCGTGCAGCACACAACACCCTCACGCGGTCCGCTCGGGCGGCGGGACCTGTCTGTGCACAAAAGTTACCGTTGGGAGCATCGGCGACTGTCTCCCCCCCCCACACTCCCGCCATCGGAACCACTTTTCCCAGCCGGACCATCCAGAGTGGGAGTGCAGGTACGAAGCACTGACGGGAAGCCATAGCCGTCAACGAAGGAGGAGGGTTTGGCAAGGAGCACGGGTCCGCGAAGGTTGTGTGCTCCTCAAGTGGCCACGACAGCTGGTGTGCAATGGTCGACATCGTTCCCATCACAGTCACAATGTTGCCATGTATACATCAGATGTGGGCAGTTCACCATGCCGTTCGTAAAGTGAGGGGAGCATGGATGGCCCAGATCCTCGGGCCCTTGGGAGAAACGTGCGACGACAAAAAAAAAAAAGCATGTCCGAAAAGAGCATGTCCGCGGCGGCCTCCCGGTCCAAAAACGGTCCACGACGAGGGTGTGTGGTCCACGTCGTCCAGCCGTTATCTGGAAACGGATTGACATGCCCCCCCCCCTGCTCGTCTGGACGCTTCCTTGGAAAGGGAATGGAAAGCGGTCGGCATTGAATTTCCAGACCATCGACCGAGCAGAAACACCCTGCTAGCATTTCCACAACCCAGTGCCGGACCCGTGAACGTGAACGCGTCCGGCCACTTGAACGTGACCGGCCGTTCACCGGGTCCGATTCCCGTGAACGACCGTTCACGGGGGCCGTTCAAGCCCCTGGTGGCCATGTGGCAGCCCATGTGGTCGGCGTCGAGGTGCGATCGGGGTCGCGCGCGGTCCAGCTAGGACCCCGTACCTTCACATCAGGAAAAAAAAAAAAAAAAAAAAAAGGATATTTGTGTTTAAAAATAATAATAAAAAAAATCTTTAAAGGTTGATTGATTGATTGATTGATTGATTGGTTAGTGGGGGGGGGGTCCTCCCTGAGGCTCCCTCCACTCCCCGGCGCGCGCGCGCATACCTCTCTCTCTCTCTCTCTCTCTCTCTCTCTCTCTCTCTCTCTCTCTCTCTCTCCCTCTCTCTCTCTCTCTCTCTCTCTCTCTCTCTCTCTCTCTCTCTCTCTCTCTCTCTCTCTCTCTCTCTCTCTCTCTCTCTCTCTCTCTCTCTCTCTCTCCCTCTCTCTTTCTCTCGCGCGCGCGCGCAACGGCTGAGAGTCCCACTCTCTCTCTCGCGCAACGGCTCAGAGTCTCCGGAGCCCTCCTCCACTCAACGTGGCTCGTTACCACCTGATCTGAAAATTTCACGGCCGTAGTAGGCCTTTTTTTTTTTTTTCAAAAATTAAAAAAAAAAAAATTCCGATCGAAAAAAAAATAAAAAAAAATGAGCAGGTGCCCCATTACAGCCCCCACATGTCTATAAAAAAAAAAGTACCCCTACCAGGCGAAAAAAAAAAAAAACGGAGTTCCCGCTCAGCATGAACTCCGTGACCTACCGGCGTTCACATTTTACGTAAACGATGGCCGCCCTCCGTTCATAACCCCCGTGAACGGTGAACGGGGGTACGGCAATGCCACAACCTGCTTCCAACCACGGTGGGGTCTGGAATTCCTTTCCGGACCGACTTTCCATACCGGTTTCCAACACCGGTGGGGTCCATGACTTAGTGCCAATAGGTTGAGTGTTTTGGTTTTTTTTGTTTTTCTTTTTTCTTTTTTAAACAAAAAAGGCCCAGTGCCCAAGGCTGATATTAATTTTAAGAAAACTAGGGTCGGGGACCTCACAGTCTACCTGGAGTAGTCCACTAGAGCCTATATCATGCCTCTTCACCCTTAATAAGGCGCCAAAACATTGTCTCATCCTAGCACATACATCTTCAAATACATGCATGTCTCATTCATACCCATACCATGATCTGGGAACCATACAAAGGTTCGACAAGGGAAAAGGATCTGGGAATTCTGCAAGTGGTCGTCGTGGGATTGTAAAGTCGACTACAATCCATTTGTTAAAAGATAGGCAATAGTTCCTTTGAAATTCCTCCTGGTCTCTTACTTGTCCTCCTTCCCACTTCACCTGGCTAATTCTCCCTCTTTGATCTCCCCAAGCCAGCTACGATTAAATAATTGGATGTGATGTCAAATCTCCTTCTTTGATGTGATATATTGTGTTTGTTTTTACTATCTCCCATCTAAATAAAATATGAGTTTGAAGTTGTTGTTTAATAGTTTTTGTGAACTCAGGCCCATCCACTCGCGCACCTCCCATCTTGTGAGTACTCTAGTAGTCAATGCATAGGTTTGAGGCCCAACAAACTGAACGCGGGGTGAAATCATATCATCTGTGGTAAGGCTTAGCTCCTCACAAAATGGAGTTGGGACCGAGGCCGGATGAACTCGTCCCCCGTGTATGCTGTATGTAAGTCCGCAACGAAACCAACTAAGCTAGCTCCTACTTCAAGTAGAAGTGGAGCGACCCAATCGTAAATAGAGTACTAGGATCAATTAGGGTGAAAATTTAAGCTAATGTTTCGTTTGTGGGAAAAAATAAGCTAGGTTTGTTTGTCGTAGTTGCACTACGGTACGCATTCGAGTCTTCCATTTAGCCCGGCCACATGGCAAGAGTTTATATTAGATTCGAACTTACTTTTGAGTCTACAATGCACCGAGATGCCGATCCCGTATACCGACATGCTCCTCGTCCATTTGTCTGACAAAACATTAACCTTTATCGAACTTTAGACCTTCGTTGTCGAAAAAGTTTTAATATTTTAACGATTCTTAATTTTTATCACACGTCGAACAAAACATGCGCCATTTACACGTTTGCTTCAGGCGCCTTCCAACTATCGAGGTCGACGTGTAGGCTTTGTTCTAATAATTTAATCCCCATTCTCTTCATTCTAACTAAAGGGTATTACTTCAGATCCTAACCATCATAGCGCGCGTAATAATAACGTTTGCCCGTACAAAAAAAAAAAATATTTATCGATAAACCTCGGTCTCAATGGTCGAAGAAATCGTCTCAAAGTGTCGAGCAAAGACATGTACAGTTTTAAGCTTAGACCACCTTCGTCATAGTGGTCGGTGAAATCGCTCTCTCGACCGTCAAAACATGGTCAAATACCCTTGTAAAAACATTTGGTCTTGCAGTGCAACCATAGTATTGAAATAATTATCTTACCTTGTGACACCCCTTTAACAACGCTGATGTAGAGCATCTCAAAAAAGTTTTGAAACTCAAATTTCACAAATGCACAATAGGGAAAGCTACAAAAAAAAAAAATGAGAAATGAAAAAAATAGGAGGAAAGACGTGCTGATAATTACAAGAAATCTCACCTATAATGCCTATCTCGATTGTTGGCGTTTTTAGGTTAATATTTGACTATAACATATCGAATGATGCCATAACAGACTCCAGCGAACATACGGAAAACATATAGCCAAAAAATAAATATGTCGAATGTCCACTTCGACAAATTAACAATTGTATGATTATAAAATAAATGACACTAATAGAGAAAGACCATAAAGCATTCATGAAGGAGGGTGGAAGGGAGTAGGGATAGTGGTAGGAGGGAAGTATGAGTGCGACAAATGGCATTAACGACCTAGTAACAATTACTTATAAGTTATATATATATATATATATATATAATTATTATGCCATTTTTTTTTACTAGTTTGTCTCCTTCCTTTCTTTTGATCTCGTTCTTCACTTGACAAATTCGTATTGAAGAATCCACAGTTGATCAACGGAAAGGTTCATTCTCATCGGCGTTGTTGATATGGAGCTCCCAGCT